ATTGCCTGTAGGTATTATAAGAGCCAGTTGTACAGTACCGGTTAACTCATTAATCAGTGATTAAAGGTCGGTTAAGTTAACCGCCCATCCGAGGCCGGTTAAACTCTGATTAGTTAATTTTTCTGCTATTATCACGGTTGTAGATGGCTGTTATCTCATTTTAATAATTATATGTTACGTCAAGTGTCTTTTTACATTAGTTTAATATTAGTAAATTGTGTTTGGTTTTGTATTCACTTTGCATTAACTGTATCGGTTTTTTGACACTCCACGATATCTTTGTATTTTTTTTATTAACGTTATTAATAAGTCAGATTCACCTGACGTAAAATTAGTAGTAGGCTTCATCTTTTTCAATTGTAATTCTTCCATAATGAGCAAAGTAATAATTAAAATGTAGCCTAATAAATAAATAATAATTAAAATGATAATATAATTGGTGATAAGACCGAGTATCACGTTAATGAGTACAATAAAATGAAAATATTGTATAAAAACAACCACATCATGTTTTAATCATTGATTAACTAGCCATGACTTAATCGTCCACCGTACAACACACAGAGATTTAATCAACGATTAAAATTTGATCATTGATTAACTAATCACTGTATACAGTAAATATGCGACGAGTACTGATACACATGCGCAACAGATATCAGTTCCATTAGCACCCTTTAATAATAATGTAATCAAATCGTCATACCCGAGACGTAGGTTGAATGATGTCCTATAGAGTGCTACTGAAAAAAACGGCACGAAATGTTCTTATTAAATTTTACGAAAAAAAACCGGCTTACTGCAAGAGCTCCCAAGTCCCAGTGGATTGATTAGTTTATCATTATTCATCATAGTTATGTATAATAAATTAGATTGCTAAGTAATGATAACATAAGAAGTTTCGTTCCATCATTTGAGACCGGAACTATATTATCAATTAATAATTTTAATCACAATATTATTCGCGATTACCTATAGGTTAATGATTTTTTTTTTTTCACTTTTTTGAAATTTATACTATATTTTTTTTTCTGCGTATTCCTTCATTTTATTTTAATGTATTCAGTCGCTTTTTACATTTAGACTGTGATATACCTGATGATGAATTTTGAATTCGAAACCAGTCGTGTAATACAGTTGTTATAATACTCCAGGCGGCGTATTTAAATTAATATTTTGTACTTCTATGCTGGTTGTAGTGAAATGTTAACCTAAAAATATATGAAAGAGACTTTATGAAGTCAGTCCACCTAAAAGGTTATTTGTTGTAATATACTATTACTTACCATGGGTCTAAGAGATAATTAAAATTGATAAATATAATGTTAAGTATAACAGAACTGTGACATGGTGTACATATTTTATTACGAAAAATATAAAATACAACAAAGGTATTTACAACTGGATGTCAACTGTCAAGTGTCCTTATCGGATCGACCGCATTATCGGTAGCTTCGCAGAGCTCTTCCATTGAACCGTTGAAAGCATGAAGGCCCCGCTTATTACATAGGAGATGGACTGGCGATCTCTCATTTTCCATTTATGGAGCACCTCTCCGGAACGGCCATGTCCTGTGCGTAGTCGATTAAGCGTTACCCATTCATGGCATGTTAGATGTCGTCCAGGGATTTGGATATCCAATTTCTTAATTATAATTCTGTTATCTATGCTATATTTCTGCCACGCTGGTTTTCAATGAGTTTGATTGCAGTCAGAAACGCAGGTTTTCTCGATTTTAGTCTAAGGTTCTGTATTATACCGGCTAACAATGTGATATTAAGCACCGTCGAAATTCCCGGGACAAATATTATTCCAAAGCACATTCAGAACTTTTCATAGTTCAGAAATTTGTAAAAGTTTCGATCGAACTTTTCGTATAATAATAGGTAGGTACCTAATATAAAAGAGGTAGGTACGTATAAAATAATGGAAAACAAAACAAAAGCGATGATGTTAAGTAGGTACGGGTACTATCTCGCATCGTAGGTAACGTCTGTTACCTACCTATATAGTATACAGAGTGATTATTTTTATCATGAACCAGCAATTATCTCTGAACATTTTAAATGAATTTGATTTCTGATTTTTCTGATCATTATGGAATCGTTTAAGCTTTATCTCAAACCATTGTTAATTTTATGCCCCGACTAAATAAGTGCATACTTTTGATTTTCCATTAGGAACCTATCTTTTTGAACACTGATTCGAATCGGAGAACATTTTCCTAGAGATTTTTTTTATGCATAACACTAGTATCAGATTTACCGTTTACGAGTTATAACAGTTTAAAGTTTAGACCGGAGGAGTGGAGAAGGGTCATAGATGGGCAATTTATAGATTTTGGCGTGTCGGTCGGTAAGTAGGTACCCAGGTACCTAACCCAATGATACCCTTGATTATAAATCAACCGAATAAACCAACACTGAATACACAATAGATAAATATTATGGTGTTGAAATCGATTTTTCCGAGTACAGCCTGTGCCTTACACGGAAGTGCGTTCAAAATTGTTTTCAAGGGGAGGTTCTCAAAAGGCCAAAAATGATTTACACAATTATTGAAATACGAGTAAAAATTAAAAATACTGTTCTATACAAAATAAATGTTCTTACAAACTACTACTATTTCAAAGTATATTTGCAGTAGGTAAACCTTAAATGATGATGTGTACATAATTTATGTTTTATAACTTCGACTAATTTATACATTTATTTTGATTTTCCTTTTGGATATTTTTTGCTAATTGGTTAATGACGTCATCGTTAGGCACTTTAATGCCATTGTAATCTTAATAATAGTATAGTAAATAAACCTTGGTTCATCAATCTTAATATACCTCGTTAACTGAGACTAACTTTGATACCTAAGCATCTAAAATGAAATTTGCATACGAATAATTTAGTTTTAGGTACGCATTCGAATACCGAGTTTTAATTTTCTTTAAGTACGTTATGTTGTACCGGTGCAAGTTATTAAAACTGTATGTCTCGCATCAATCATTAATTCAATATGGCTCACCAATCTAAAGAAGTCTCTCTGCACATGTTAAAACTTTGAAAATAGACTCAAAATATGTATTTATCGTACTCATTTTAATTTAAGGTCAATCAACCAAAATGTTTAATATTGGGTGCCCAGAGTGAAAAAATAAACAAAACTCTATATATAGGTACCTACTTACCGGTTTTGAATACCTACTTGCTTAACATTTCGTACTTAAAAATCGTCTATCTAATTTAAGTATACCTACTAATAAAGATAATTGAATTTTGCAGTTTTTCTTTAGCTATCCGATTCCATTTCTGTTTCTGCATATTAGGTAATTTCCAAATTATGTCATCGAAAAATCGCCGTGTTTTGCATTTAAGTGTCAAAATAACCGCTTAGGTGTCAGTCAAAATCAACACACAAATACGCTACACTGTACACTAAATCTTGTATTTGGTTACAAAATGTAAAAATAAACCCCGTGATTTCTGTGAGTTTTAACAATTTGATTAAATCCATATGTTATTCAATGCCGAACACTCGGCCCTTATATCATTATCGCTGGTCCTCACAACAATTTTGTACAATCTTCCAAAATACAAATATTTAAAAAAAAATAAATCATTTTTACGATTTTCATAAAAATTGAAACATTGAATAATTATAAAAAAAATTGTTACACTCAGAATCTAAAATTTAATTTTTGTATTATGATTCCAAAAATCAAGCTGAAGGATTGAATAATTTTTTTAAAAGACTGACATAGGTACTTTGCAAGATACGTGGGCTATTGTTATAGATGAGCATGGGAAAGTAGTATATAGAGGAGAATTTAATGTATATCTGTACACAATAATTAATAATTACTAACGAAAAACGATTCTTAGGAGCTCAATTATACTATACGTTTTGATAAGCTATCATATTTACAATTTTCATCAAAATTTAATATTAAAATTTTTACAAAAAAATTTTTCTGATTAGTCCAACAATTTTACTGCAGAGTACCTACCAAATAGCAATCACATAAAAATGTTTTGAAAATGTCAACACGTTAAGAAAAAGCAAATATAAGTTTATTGCTAAATTTCAATTCTCTACAGATATTTAAACTGAATTACATTTAAAAAAAAAACAAAATTTAAAAGAACAAATAATTTTTGTAAATTTTCCAGTACTTTCTATGTATTTTTGGTTTTGCTAAAATAGTTAAAAAAAACTACACTGAAAATCAAAAAAATGACTTTCATATTCATTAACTAGACCTAAAATGACACAGACAATAATTTTTTGGATGGAATAATATTTATGATAGAAAAATCAGCCGTAAAAATTTTAATTGATGAAACAGCTGCCCTGTAATTTGAAAAAAAAATGGATTTTTAATCTTTTTCCCAATTATTAAAATGAAAACATTGTCAATGCAACGCACCATAAATATTTGATTTTCCTTTTCTTTTCTTTCAGATGTTTCCTAATTATTTATAAAATCCCTTGGGAAATCAAAAAATCAATTTTCTCCAACTAGAGAAAATTACCTTTCAGAAAAGATGCTATATTCTATACATCAGAGCAAAACTTACTATGTTCTGAATCTAGATATAATTAACATCATTGTGATACTAATAACTTGCTTTGCTCAGAATTTAAAATTTAAATATATGGATTTAAGGAAAAACTAACCTATTCACGAGTATTTTCAAATATCTGTGAGGGATAGATTCGTCACACATCTACATTAAATCTTTTATATTATAGAAGACTCTCCATAATCAATATTTAAGTGGTTGTGTACAGATGAAATTAAAATTTTGTAAAAATATCATATCAAATTAAAAATATTAAAATTAAGTTAAAACATCACAGTTAGCTCAAGCGTGGTATCGATAATAGATAAAATGAGAGAACATAGACAGGGATTATTTAGGGATATCACAGGGAGAGGAATCTGAAGTAGTAAGCATTGAATGAAAATAAACATAGGATAAAAGTTGGTGAGGAAGTCTGAAAAAGGTGGTTGAATGCAATTGTTAATGATATGAGAACAGCCAGTGTATACAAGGTGGGAAATCAAGTCAATTGTAAGTTTACAATAATTTTAGTCAACCCAAATAATTGGGATTAAGGAAATGGCGAAAAAGATTAAAAACATAATCTCTGGCAAGATATTTTAGTTTTTTCAAAGTTTAATTTTAAAGGCATAAAATCATGGAAGTCTGAGTAAAACCCATTATTTGAAAATAAGTTTCAATATGTACGTGTGATATCCCCTCTTATCAATAATAAAAATATAGTGCAGTTTTATATGTTCAATATTCTGATCACTCAGAAAATTACATTGGAATAATAATATATAATATTCAAATGAACGTGCCAAAGAAAGCAAGGCAATAACAAACAAAGAAATGGCTATTCATCAATAGATAATAAATCAAACAAGTCCATTTAAAATACTTCTATAGTTAAAGTAGTGTGGGAAATTATTACAGAGACAAAATAGTTCACGATTTTAAATTTATTGATACAGTTCTTTGCAATTAAAATGTGTTTTATTCTAATAAGTACGTAAAATATTAGATATACATTCCTGTTTCATTTGCATAACTTGACTGTATATAAATCATTAAATTATGAGTAAATTATTAATATTTAAATAGCATTTGTTCTTCTTTTTTTCAAAATATATTGTATAAATTGAACAGAAATATTTTAATTTATGACAATATAAAATTTATTTTCAGTTTATCGTAAAAAAAAAAAAAGAGAAAAAGTTATATGCAGGTCGGCCCATGAACAGGACTATGGTTGAAGTCAATTTTGATATTATTTGTATTCCACCAAATATTCCTTTAATTTATCTTTGTTGGCACCAGAAAATCTAATGACCTATAAAAGAAATAGAAATAAATTTTAAATGAACAATATAAATGTAACTTATAACTTAAATATAACTTATATAACAACAAATTTAAATTTTACCTCTTTATTTGACTTTATGAAGACAAATGTGGGCATGGATTGGATGTTGTATTGAATTGCTGCTTCTTCACATTCGTCAACATCAACTTTCAGCATTACTACGTCAGGATTATCGTTAGCCAATTCCTATAAATTTATTAAATTATGATAAAAGTATTAAAATATTGTTCTTTACGCTATCTATTGTCATCAAGCCTTTCTGATAATCTCCATTCCAGTACATATGCCAAACCAGAACTACGTAGACAGATGGATAATGTAAAAAATAAGATGTACAATATAACAAATGAGTGCTACATATTGTGCAAACCAGTTGACAAACAACCTAGGTATGTGTGAGTACCTAGTTACTAATTAGACTTGAACATAGTTGTTCAATTGTTATAATACGGTTGTTTGTAATAATTCTAATACCACGAAAAACAGACTTCTTAACCAAATCTACCTACAAATATAGGTAGACGCTTCCATACATTTAAAATTATTTTAATTTTTACCACTATCTGCATGACTTCTATTTTATGTGTACAACTTTAAGAATAATGAATATTTATTACAATTGTTTACCTCGATGAATGGAGCAATTAATTTGCATGGGCCACACCATTTGGCAAAGAAATCGATGATGACTAATTTTTCTTTGGCGTCAATTAATTTTGCTTCCATATCACCCTGAAAATTATAATATGCAATTATTAATAATACAATATTTTTTGATCAAACAGTACTTCAAACAAACACAGTTTTAATAAATTTCATATTTATTAAAATAATATAGATCTAAAAATAACATAATATAATACTTATAAATGCTGGCCCACTTCAATTTAATATTAAAAGAAATAAAACTAAAATAAATATAACAATCATCATAACCCTATTACTTTGTAATAGTAAATCTACACAATATATTTCAGATTTAATAGAAGTCTGTAGATGAAATTAACATCAATATAATATTAAATTACCTAACACAAAAATAAGTGAATATATAAAAACCATTCTACATTTAAGAAAATAATAAATTAATAATCTATTCAATGAAATTTTAACCATCAATCTATCTAATTAATATTGAAGAAATTTAGTTTGAACACTTGGACTTGGGCACAAAAAAATTAATTATATAATTAACACTATTATAAATTAAATCATACCGCTTATGTCACCTATATAGAAGAAATTATTTAGTAAACCTAGGTATTTGTCAAAATGACTGTATACCTAGGTCTTTAATGTTACTGATATATTATATTTAAATATAGCACAAATGTCTACTCAGATGTTGTAGAACTACAGAATAGATATTAAATGAACAAGTCTTTTATGGGTTTTAAATTGTTTTAAAGTTCTTACATACATTTTTCTGTATAGGTACAAAAATTTGAGTTAATATTCAGTTACGGTGAATGAATATAAAATATTTCAATAACATTAGACAAATACCAACTTATATACTATTTAGGTACTTAAGTAATATTTGATGCAAATTAAAATAAAAAAACAGAACATGTCATTATAGTACATTGATGAATACCAATTAGTATCGTACACAGATAAATTTTTAATAATCAAATCAAATATTTGTATAACCATGTAAATAGATGCATCTAGGTCGGTAATTAAATTTAGAAAATTAGATTGAAAATATTACTTTGATATTTGACGATTTCTTGTGCAATAACATTTAACCTGAGAATACTCGACGTATTAGATAAAAAATCTAACATTTACCTTATTTTTTGAATAACTATTGTCTATTAATTTATAAATGATCGCCCTTCGGCAAATGCTTTGTTTACATATACATGAAACTAACCCCACCATAATATTATCATTAATAAGATAATCGTACAACAGTTATTTTCATTTTGTAAACAACAATAGGTATGTGAATTGTTAGTAATAAGTATTCGAAGTTTTATTCTTATAGACTTATTGAATCAATCTATTATAATAACATTATATATTTGTTTATACTTAATAGTGCTAAATTACTAGCGATATATTCAAACTTAAAAAGTGAGTAAAATGTACACTATTTCTATAGTGGAATGGGGGGAGGGGGAAGGAAAAAATAAGTCATCAAAATATACAGTATAGTTAAATTTAAATAAATATTTAAAAGACATATCTTTATTTAACAAAGTAAAACAGTAAACCTGAAAATCATGTTTTAATTAAATAATTTTTTTTCAAATTGTGCTCAATGAATTAATGACCTTATCAATAGTAGTATTACGCAGATACCTAATATTGTTCAAAATGAATATTATTTTTTGCCACAATGGAAATAAAATGTATAAGTTGTATTATAAAAGATCATTATTACTTGCATTCTTAGAAATATTATTCAAACAAGTCATGTAATAATAAAAGATAAATAATTATAATAAAGAAAGCGAAATTAAAATATTCTGATAATTATTAAAAATAATCTACAAGCCGTGACTCAATAGTCAATACATCTATCATTATGAGAATATTGAAATCAATAGGTAATTATCGTATGTTATAATAATAATGGTACAAGGGAATTTATTTTATAGTTTAATAATAATTGTAGGCATCAGAATTCTGTAATATAAAACAAAAAAAAGGATATTGGTAACTTAAACATCAGTTCAATGCATTATTTTTTGATGCGGTAGTTTGCTGTTCTTGAGACTAGGTAAGTACCAATTATATTATATTCTATATGGTGAAAAAAACAAGAGGAAAAAAAAAAATTGAACAAAAATTTTAAACATTTAAATTACTAATATACAATTATATTAATTATTAAAAACTGGTGACATTATGGGTTATGATTATCGTAAGGAAAATAAGTAAACTAATGATAAGAAAATCTTATCTATATTTAATATTAATTAGGTTCAATCTTTGGTAATACGTTTAATAAATAATTATTATTATAGCAAATAAGAAAATTTTATCTATATTTAACAATTATTAATTAAGTTCAATTTTTGGTAATCCATTTAATAAACGATAATTATTATAGTCATGTAATATTTACAAATATATAAATATACATCTTTATAATATCTTGTCCATGGTACTAAATGCGACATTTGATTCAGTGGCATAAAATTTAGACAGTCGTTTAAGATCACAAAGTCGAAATACTTGACCATTTACATTTTTCCCCGTAAAACAATTATTGCAAGTATTAAAACCGCGTAACATTTGTACGTATCCCGATTTATATTGATGCCTAAGATTGGTACGTCGATAAACCGAACGTCTGGTTGAAAATGAAAAATTATTTTTTTACTACTCGTTTTATACCGTACATTATGATTACGTATTTATTGTACGGTAGGTATTTCAATGTCGAAACGAGTTATAACCCCTGGCGTTTTAAAATTATTCTAATTCGCGTGTGAAAAAAAAACAACTAATTAGCAATTCATTGGCCGACCGTTCGCTTTATCGCGTTCGTACAATTATTATTTTATTGCAGGTATAATAATGACGAGAGAAAAAAAAACACAAAGCTGCGGAACGATCGAGTGGAGAATAATCGGCACGGGACTCTTTACCGTGCCGACCGAACGACGAGACAATAATTATTATTATTATTATTGTTGTTGTTGTTCCCGAGATAACGAGTACAAGGTAAGAGAGCGCGGGAGAGGCTTCGTTCGGGTTGAAAATTACGGCCGGTCGCGTTACGTCCCGACGGTTGAATATAAAAATTCGGCGGCTTTTTTTATTTTATTTTTTTCTCATTTCCCTACCAACCGAGTGACGTCGGATCGCGGTCGCGACTCACACAACACCCGCGGGCGTTCGCGGCCGGCGGTGACTCAACGACCAAACACGGTCACGCCGTCGAACACCACCGCTACGGCCATTGTCCGCGGACAGGACGGCCGCACGGCTGATAAGAGCGTCGTCGCCGCGCGATAAAACGCACTTGTACGCCCGCGGACATTGGATTCACGCGCAAATTACCCCGGCAGTGGTGGCGGTAGTAGTGGTAGTGGTGGTAACCGGCGCGATGGGCGAGCGTGAGAACTTTCGAAATCGACCGTAGCAGAAAAAAAAAAAAAAAAACCCCTCCGAAATCGTTATGGGTCCCCGCCGCCACAAGCGTCGATGTGACAACGGCCGAGGCCGAATCGAACGGAAGTCCTTCACGACACGTCGCCCCGGAGGGGAGGGGGGAGGGGAACCGACCCGACCAGAAGTCGGGGCGATCGCCGTGCGCGCCGTTACATAACGACGACGTCGACCTTGTGGCGAACGGTACACAATTATAACGATCACGATGAATTGTGCGCAAAATACCGAAACGCAGAAGGAGCGAGGAAAAAAAAATAAAAAAAAGAACAACAATAATAATTACTCGCAAACGACGGCAATCGCTATCTTCGCCACGGCGGTGGCGGAGGCGAGAACATATTTCATTTCATTATTGTTCGGAAACAAACAGTAATTGAATAATACCACGTGTAAAGCCGTCGCCGGCGGTACTTACGAAGTCGACGACGAGATGGACCATTTTGTCGGCGTGTGATTGTTGTTCAGCAGACGGAAGTAGCGACGTCGACGGCGCCGGAACAGTATCGAAATGAAAACGGCGCGTGTGCGACAGTGGACGACGCGTCTGTACGAGTGTCCGTTCGGTCTGTTCAGTGCCGTCGGTTCCAACGGATCGGTGCGGTTGGCGTCGGTCGGTCGCGGCGTTGGTGGTGGTGACGGTGGCGGCGGTGGCGGTGGCAGTACCGCGAGCCGCCGCCGCCGCCACCGCCGACGAACGAGGCGGTACGCGAGGAACAATCATGGCGCGCGCCACGTAACGGCAGTGCGGCCAAAACGCGGACACGAAACTCTGCGAGCCGAAACTACACGGTTTCCTATTTCCCGCCACTAATCGTTTTATCTGGGGGCGCGGTGTAATGTTATAGACCCGTTCATTACCTGGCATTCGCGACAGGTCTACGCGTTCGTAGATAACAAAAGATCTATATGCTTGCATATTTTTACGGATTGTGCATTACAATTCATTTAAATGTTGCTAATGACAACGTGCCGAGAGAGGTTCTGATGATGTGATGGGCGTTAATGAGAAAAGTGATTCCGGGATGGGATATTAGTTTGATAGAGAATATATATTGTGTCGGTTAAAACACGAGTGTAAGAAATGTGTGTGCGATAACGTAAGATTTTGGGATTAGAGATGCCTATTGTCTGTTGTGACGGATGAAGTTACGAAGTGTATACAAGGCTAGCTGTCTCATGGTCGTGATGTTTGCAGATGATATAATTTTGGTAGGAGAAAATCTGGAAAAAGTTTACGATAAACTTGAGGAATGTAGAGTAGTACTTGCACGAACGGGACAAAAGATAAGTACGAGTAGAAGCAAGACCTGCGAGTTTTAAAGCACAGGACAAGACAACTAATGACAAAAAGCGGTGACGTAATAGCCGAGGTTAATAGTTTTTAACAAATACCTAGGACTTTTTGTACAAAAGAACGGTGGCTTTGACGAGAATGTGAAACATAAAGGATTTAGTGTGGTTGAACAAAATTAAGAGAAGCGCCAAGTGTCGTATCGTAAATATTAATTAACTGCACTTGGTTACGCTAATAATATTAATACAATTTAATAAATATCTGTGGAAGAAAACGAAATTATTAGAGCGTTCAATGATTTTTAGTTATGGAAAAAGCCGTACTGGGTCACCGGGTTTAGCTTTCGGCACTCGTAATGTGTATGTACGGTACCTGCCCAATAGTGATTAGTGCTATGGTGTTGCTAATTAGCTAACGAAAATCATAAATCATATGTCGCAATATTTTTTTGAGGAATATTGGTTTTTTAGTTTTTACTGCACATTTAAACAGTACCGGATTTGAAGCTCATTTAAGGTGAGGGAGAATCGGTATCATAGATTCATAGGTACTAACAATGACGTAACTGAAAATAAATTTTCGGAGTGGGGAAAGGTTCAAATATGTTTTAGAATACTATGTATTTATATTTTTTTTTTTACGTTCAAAGTATCTTTTTAATGATTTCAGAGAGTTCTGGTCGTTCTGGAGCACCGGATAAGTCCTCAGTTCAATAGTCCTAAATAATAAAATGTATTAATCATATTATATTAGTATTCTTATAATTAATTGAAGTAACAGTTGTATTGTTTCATTTTATCAGCCGCAAATCGACTAATTATTTTGTCCACGTCAATGTGTATGTATCTGCGTGTATTGAGTAGAGCTAAGCGAATTAACCTTTCCTCAACGATGCGATTAGTTTATGTTTATGTTAGCGATATGTTTCACCGATAGAATAACGAACGGTTATACACTTGTACGGGCTTGCCTATTTTAATTTCCTTGAATAACTATTATTATTATAGATTAAGTATATAAGCACAATTGATTTGATATTATGTCACATATCCTTATCAGTCATGAGCCTCCGAATATCCAAATCATCATTTATGGCCTCTGAAAAACCTTTTCATCACGCCACTGCAGGTACCTAACCGAAATGTTCTCGGCAGTTTCGATTGCACAAGTCGGATCCACAACTGAGCAAACTTTTGTTTACTCCAGTTTTATTCATTAATGTAAGTAAATAACAATATTTTGTTATTCATAAATTTAGTTATAAAATATATTGACTAGGTAGGTAGGTACCTATTATATATTTTCTATTTTCTACTTTCATTTTGCAATTCCTATAATAATGAATTTTATTATGTATATTATAATATAGATATAATATTTTAATTCACAAATTGCACTTTTTACTTTTTACTCGTGGAATTTCATTAATCTAATTGAATATATTTAGGTGCCTCGTACCTATATGGGTATTTTACATCTAGTACCTACCTGTCATTATTATAATGAATCAAATTTTTGTGGTTGCCACACCTAATTTCAAGGGTAGGTATATCCCATAACATTGATAGTTTAGCATAAAACATTGTATATTTTACAATTTATTCATATAAGGAGCAATGGACAATGAACATAATATTATAGTTATATGGAAAAAGATGAACATACTTCGCAAGATGAGTGTATATCTGTACGCAACAATTAATCATTGCTAATAAAAAACGATTCTGACCGTAATATGGTTACGAATGTTTTGAAAGGCCGTGACATTTACAATTTTCGTCGAAATTTTATATTAAAAGACTTCAACTTCAAAAAAATTCTTCATTGCACTCAGTTTTTTTTTTTCTTATTTATCACAAAGTAGGACTTATAATAAACTGTAAAATGTTGAATAATTTCTGTTTAATCAAACAATTTTATCTACAGAATAGGTATCTACCAATTACAAATTACGTAAAAAACTTTCAAAATTAAAATGACCATATAAGCAGTTTAAATATTTTTAAAATTTCATTACATCTAGAGAAAGCAAATATAAGATTTCTGTCAAAATTTCAATTCTCTACGAATATTTTTAACCGAATTATATTAAAAATCAAAATTTAAAATAATCAAAAAATTTTCAAATGCAACTTGATTTTAGTTTTCGAATATTAGGCTTTGAAATATTAATTAAAAGATTTATAGAGCCACTCAAAATTTTCTTCACCCTGATACTCCAAGTTTGCCCCAATTTACATTATTTTATATTTGACTTAGTTTTCTCGTCAAATAAGTGTGATTTTGTCTGCTATATATTATGTACCTATAGTGTCATTACAGCTGGAGGGAAATAAGAGGTTGGCGAAACCTCGAGAAAAGTCGGCAAGTAATAAATATTGTTCCCCTGTGTGAAAGACCGATCACTGATTTTTTTTTTTTTTTGCTGCCCAAACAGGATCTTATAGCATGCCCATCGGAACATCTCTGTCTCCCGAATCTGCAGTGTGTCTATTCACCAACAAAAATTTTTATAATATTAATATCGTATTGTACAGTGTAATACGTACTTTTCATGATGAAATTTTGTCACGGTATACTAATTTTTTGCTGTTTTACTACTGCACAAGTATCCGCGAGCCGAGAAGATCCATCCACGACTCAAGAACTTCGTATCGAACATATTATTTTGTCTATACAGACGACACTATTATTACGACAGATGGGAACTCGTAGTCGTGTATTATTATTATAATAATATACCTAATAAAAATATTCGAGCAACCAACAAGGACGTGCACAATGCATCAGACATCTAGCCAGATAAAAAAAAAAAATATAATATTATGATATAATCATGCATAAAACATAATATTTTATTACGTGGTCGGAACTCGATGTCATCTTATTTTCTTGCGGGTTGATAAAATACGTTCCCACATGGTATAGATGAGCGGGATGGGCGGTTATCATCGATTTGTCCTAAAGTTTTAGTTTTGTTTCCATCATAAGGGAAAACGTTGGATTTTCATTTCCGCCAGACGTTTTCTGTCCATCTAAGTGTGATCAGACACTCTTTTTGATTTAATTTTTTACGGTATCATCATCAAAACTATTAAGCCACGTTTGAGCTTTTAAGGAATTTTATTTTTCGGGAGTTTTATTGCTGTAATTCGGTTATAAATACACATAGAGACTTTTTCAATTTTTTTACAGTGGTACATCTTCTTCTTCTTGTCGTGTCGATCTTCATATTCCCTTCCCTTCCCAGTAAGCAGCAATTTGTATTGCCTTGTCTGAAATTTCATGTGTCAAAAATTCTTCCTTGCTACACTCAATCGGTAGTAGTGGGCATGCAAACAAATGGTCTACATCCTGCTCCCCACCACATTCGCATTTTCCATTCTCTTTTATCCCCCATTTTTTCATATTACTCGCTGTCCTTCCAGTTTCGGTTCTTAACCTATTTAGCGTCTTCCATATTGACCATGGTAGATGACTTCCGGGTGGTAATCTTTCCTTTGGATCCTTCCATAGCTGTGCGCTANGTCTATTCTTGTCACTTCAGGTGTTTGTGATAGGCTAATTGTTGTCTTCAAAAAGTTTTTCCTCGATTTAAGTCGACTCCCCGTGAATTTACCTTCATATAAAGGGTGTCTTATGTCTGATTCTTGTTTTGTTTTCTCTACTCTTGCTGCCACCTCCCGCCTTATGTTAGGAGGTGCTATCCCGCATAATACTTGTACTTTTTGAACTGGGGTTGGTCTCAAGCACCCCGTAATTATTCTATTAGTTAAATTTAGTGCCACATCTACCTTCTTGGCATGTGCTGAGTTTTCCATGCAGCACAAGCATATTCACCCGTCGAGTAGCATAATGATAAGGCTGTCGTTCTTAGGACATGAGGGTCTGCGCCCCATTGAGAGCTAGCCAGTTTCTGAAGTAAACAGTTTCTTGTTCCTATTTTTTTTTTTTTGTGTTTTCACAATGACTTCTATATTTCAGGGCTCGATCAAGTTTAATGCCTAAGTATTTTGGTTCGTCGCAGTGCTCTAATTCTGTGCCTTGCCAATTTATTCTCAATTTCCGCTTAGCATCTCTATTTCGTAAGTGGAAAGCGGTAATTTGCGTTTTTGCTGGATTCGGTTTAAGAGTGGTACATTATTTTTTTTTATATATACTGTAGACCACTTTTATCCTAGAAAACTTGCAAAAATTCTTCAAAAGTTGTAAATTTGTTACAACATTTATATTTTAATGTTGCGATGTAAAATACAATTTTTCTTAATTAAATTCTGTTTACTAGTTTGATCGCGATCGCAACAATGAATTACGATTTGAAGTTAGGTTTCAGTTATTTTATACGATTTAGGTACTAGTAAATAAAAATAATATTCTGTCCAGTGTCGTCCTATTACTTATAACTAAAGACCAGATTTCCGTGCACT